CAACAAAGTCTCCAATGGAGACGTTACTGGGCCTGCTCGAGCAAATCAACGAACAACGGGAGGGCCTTTACCTTTACCTAATATTTCAACTCCAATTCCACCACCATGACCCCTTTCCACCACCTTTATTTTGAGTTTTCCCACCACTGCCCGAGATTTCCCCAAAATAGGCATTCATCTGGGGAACATAAAGTAACAAAATAGGAGACTAACACCCAAGAAGAGCCGAGATAAGTACCAGGAGGTTTACTCCATGGCATGGAGGCCAGCTGCACATGCTAGGGGAAATGGCAGCTCAGATAGAGAAGGGAGCACCAAAGAAAGGGTATTGAGAGGATCCTCCCAGGATGGGACATGCATGCTGAAAGTAGACTACAGACCGAACATGTTTGCCACTCAATGCCTGTTTTGCAAACCACAAAACCCAAAAGGAGAGAGAGAACAAAAGGGAATGCCCTGCCACAGAGGCAGTGTGGGATGCAAGGGGATGGGGGGTGGGAGGTATAGTGGCATCAGTGGTGGTGGAAAGTGGGCACGGGTGGAGGGATGGGTACTCGATCACTGTATAACTGAAACTCAAGCACAAAAATTTCTAAGTCTACAACTGTACCTCATGGTGTTTCACTAATAAAAAATTTTAAAACATTTATTTTGTATTGCTTGCTATAAATAACTGACTAAGAATGATCCAAAAAGGTTTCCGTAGAGGAAAGTCTATGAAAATTGTTGTATCTCATCTTGGAGCCATTGGTCGCTGGGATTAGAGACAGAGAGCTAATTTAAGGACATTGGGCAAGGACCTGGAGAAAGCAGCGGGTTCTTGTTCATCAGGGACCTTTGGGTAGCAGACAGAGAGCACCACCTAGTGAACTGGAAAATGAGGAGCGCTGACTGTGTGGGGGCAAACTACCTTGGAAGAGGCAGGTCATAAAAGTGTTTGTCATTGCAATCCCGCCTGAATCCGTAAAAAACAATTTCCTTCCTCCCACCTCAATCCCGAACCCACAGGATACTAGACTACTGTGAAGGTGAGTTTGTGGGGCCAGGATGATGTCGGAGCTGAGATCAGGGCAGAAACTGGGGAATCGAGTTGATTCAAGTAGTGGCTACCACATGGGAGCTCGTGGTGGCCGAGAGACTATTCTTAGCTTCCCTGTTGCTATTTGGTGGAGCAAAGGCCTGGGAGGCAAGCAGGTCCTACCCATCTGTAATTCTAAAATGTTAGTGTCAGGGGCTAGAGCAATAATACAGTGGACAGGGCGTTTGCCTTGCACGTGGCCAACCCGCGTTACATTCCCGGCACCCCATAGGGTCCCCCGAGCACCACCAGGGGTAATTCCTGAGTGCAGAGCCAGGAGTAATCCCTGTGACTCAAAACAAAACAAAACAAATGTTAGTGTCAGATGGAACTGTGTTCATTTCTTTTGGGGCCACACCCGGTGATGCTCAAGGCTGACTCCTGGCTTTATGCTCAGGCATCAGAGAACTCCTGGCAGGAGGTGAGGAACCATTTATGGAGCTGGGAATTGAACCCAGGTCAGCAGAGTCAGGACAGCATCAAATCCCTTCTGTGATACTTAGCCTGGTCCTCGAAAAAATAATAATATATTCAGGGGTCAGACATATAGGACAGCAGGTAGAGTATTTGCCTTGCATACAGCTGACCAGGTTCAATCCCTAGCATCCCATATGGTCCACTGTGGACCACCAGGAGTAATTCCTGAGTGCAGAGCTAGGAGAAACCCCTGGGCATTGCCAGGTTTACCCCCCAAAAAACATAAAGGATAATATAACCAATGTTCTCCTTTTCTAAGAAAAAAATTGGTTCCACTAATCAAGTGTGACCTTTCTACAACACCGATAATTGTTTTATGAAAAGGAAGATATTTTTATTTATCACCGTCAGTCTTAAAGTTGTTTTAAAAGTGAAAAATCTTTGGTCATGGTCTTAACTGTATTGTTGTATTTTTCTGTTCTGCAAATCTACAAGTCTAGAAACTACCACATCATCATTTCTTGTTTTATGACTGCTGTAGTTAAAACTCGAAGTAGGAACATGAGGGATTCAAGGCGCACCCCAGTTTTATCAGGACTGATGGGTGTTACGTGCAGGACATGCCTCCATCTGTCCCTTTTCTGAAAATTGCCCTGGATTGTCCTTAAACATGTTTTATTCCATATCGGCATCCCAAATACCTCTCCCCGAAACAAAAGAACGACATAGATTCTATCCAGGACTTTTGAAAGATGATCTGAACTCTAGTCCATTCTTCCAAGCAGCCTGAAATCACTGGCATTCTGACACGCTTCCTCCGCCCACCCCTATTTTCTATGCCTCCGTACCAGATCATTAAGCTGCACCCGAGCTTTCTCTCTCCACAAAACACAACTGGCTGTGGATAAGTTACTGGAGGCTGATATTGTTCCAGGCCAGTAACTACAGCGTCCATTGCGTCTCCCATTCCCTGTGAAACTGTTCGCACGGTCTCCACTTCACGATGAACATGTTGCGGACAACAGGTTTTATCTTCCTTCTAGTACCCTGAGTGCTCCGCTTGCAGTAGGCACTCAAATTCGATCAGGAAAATGTGATCACTTTCTCCGTACAAGGAGCACTTTAATAAGCCCCCAAATATAGAAACGTCATCGGGGTCCCCTTGGTTTTACGAATGACAGTCAGGAACTAGGGGCCTGGAATTGCATGGGAACGAGGAAGCAGCCCTTGGAAACCCTTTAGTCCCGAGGCTCTGGTTCCATTTGATTTCTGAAGGGCAAGGGAAGAAAGTGACACAGAATGAAAGCAAAGGACAAAGTGGAGAATCCCCAAGTGAGGAGAGAGACAAGTTCTGGAAAACTCCACAGTAGGTCGGCTTCCCTCCCCCCGCCCCACCCCCGCCTCATTCCAGGTGACAGCCTGTCAAGCAGGGAAAGAGTGGTCGGCGTGGTCGACCCTCACAGTGCAGCTTCCACCTCACCCTGAGGAGACAAGACACTGGTTCTGGCTTCATCCACCCTGACCCAGTGCTCTGTGAGCTCCCGGGCCACTCCGTGGGTCTCCTTTGTGGCTCTCTGCTCTGGCCTCCTGTGGCCCTTCCCATGCTCCCTTTCAACTGCCCTCATCTGTGGCCTTTGCTCTTCCCCATTCGGCTGCTTCCACATTTGCAAACAGTTTTCTCCCATGACAGGAATGGGCCCTGTTTGCCTGGGCCAAGAGTCACTCAAGAAAAATGTTGCTCCCCCCCTCTTGCCCCAGAACTCTCTCTCTGGAAAGAGTCAGTCTTAAGGTACCCCTGCGGTCCTTGAGAGTTTGCCTAGCGCCACACAGTCACCTGGAGAGGGCAGGTGCTTAGATAGTTAACGTATCTGTTCACCGAGAAGTGCAGAGAAGTTCAGTAACCATTAGAACACCCGACATGTCTGAGCTGACTGTTTGAGGGTGTCTACCTCTCTGGGGAATGGGACATTTCTTTTTCCACTGAGAATGGTGCTGCTAGCTGAGACCATACACGACTATTTCATACAAATGTCCCATGGCTCCAATTATGGAACCAAGAGCTGATCCAGCGGACCTTGCATCCCTGGTACTTGCTCTGGACTGAAGCCATCCTCTTCTTTCCTAGGACTTTAGTGGGGGAACCTAAGGGGTCCCTCAGGAGTGGAAAAAGCTGGCATGCAGGGGGTGCTGTGGAGCAAGGTTCCCTGCAAAACAGTGGCCAGCTGACTCTGGGGTTTCTGGGTTCCATCCTGCTGCCTCTGCACTCAGGAATTACTCCTGCTGGGCTCAGGGGACCATAAAGGATGCGAGGAAGGGGGAGAGGTGGAAGAAGATCAGAACCCTAGTCAGCTGCATGCCAAGCAAGCTCCTGACCCACTGTGGCTCCTCCTCCTCCCGGCCTTCTGTATCTTTTTGAGGAACTCTGCACCCTTTCCCATCCCCGGCAGCTGTGCACAGGGGCCGTGTCTCCAGACCTGCTTGGACTCCTGTGGCTCCAGCTGACCCTCTGTCCCCAGGCCCACCACCGACCAGTGGGAAACACTACACCACTAGGCCACCGTGATGGTGATGGGTGCGTCTGTACTGAGCTTGTACAGAAATTTTCTTTTCTTCCCTTGCGACATCTGGATATGCTCAGAAGTTACTCAAAGATGCGGGGTGCTGAGGATCAAACCTGGTTGGGTGCTGCAAGGCAACACCGACCCGCTATGCTACAGCTCTGGCCAAACTTTGTATGCCCTGGGCCGTGTTTTTACTTTCCTGATGGCACCGCAGGAACTGCCAACGTTTTGAGGATGACCACCTGAACTAGCCTGGTTTTGGTCTCTGTGCCACTGTCCTCAGCAACTGCGAAACTGACTCTGTTCTTTAGGAACTTTCAAAGCTGAATTTATCGTGGATCTGGGCCACAGTCAGTGGAGTTCTGGGCTTACTCCTGGCTCTGAGCTCAGGGATCACTCTTGGCAGGACGCGAGGCATGATATGTTGTGTTGGGGATTGAACCCGGGTCAGTTGGACACAAGGCAAGTGCAAGCGGCGTTACTACTCATTATACTGTTGCTGCAGTCCTGTCACCTCAGTTTTTTCATGCCACTTCACACTCTGAGCTCACTTGTGCATGTGTCTTAAGGGGTCCAGCTCTGATCTTTGGCGTGGGGGCCTCTGGTGAGAACAGCATTCTTTGTTCAAGAGATCCTGAGCATTTGGGCCCTACATGTACAATGTGAGCTGCGGAAGGCCAGGCCCGGCCCCTTCCCTGCCATGACTGTCTCTCCTGTCGCCAGTGACTCACGCGCTGGCTGGGTTTGATCCCCAGCACCACACAAATCGATAGAGGCACAGGGCAGGTGTCTCCAGTCGGCGAGAAAGGGAAGTGAAGTCACACTTCATCAGAGGAGCCTCTGGAGAGCTCCTCCCATTACACACAGCTGCTGAAGGAGAAAACCAGTCCTGGCACCTCAGGACTTCCTGGCATCTCTGAGGAGTCCAGTCTCAAGGAGGGGGATCTGGGAGGCACCTTCAGGAGGCTCAAAGGAATAAGACTCAAAAAAGTGGCACAGAGTTGATGGGTTCTCCTTGGGGTCCGTATCCACAGCTGTGAAATAACCAAATCTCTGCTGTCCGGTCAAGAGAATGTGGAGGGAATGTGCACCTACCACGCATGGGACAAGTGTGTGTGCTGCTCTGAGTTCACAGTTCCTTGGATCCAGGAGTGTCCCAAATGGTCAAAATTCAGTGATCTGGCACCTGCAGAAAGAAGAAACAAATTCGATGGCTCCTGTGCCCACCCTGGCAGTAGCCTCCCAGGACCCACTTACCCACTCCCCTAACTACAAGACTCATCGCCAAGTGCTCCCGAGTGGGTGGTTGTTGGGGCTGACCAGCAAACAGTCCTAGCTGGGGGAGCACAGGGTGACAGGCCTTAACATGTGCCAGGACAACTCACACAGTGTTCTGCGACCACATGGTGGCACTCTCCACTTTCCCAGGCTAGCACCTGGGAAGCAAGGGCTGGTTCCTGCCACTTCAGTGGAGAGAGTGACTGAGGCACCAGCACTCACCTTCAGGGACTTGGCTGATGCCTACCAGGCGGGTGGCCAGCCCAGGGAATCCAACCCCAGTGCCGGACACACAAACCCCAGGACCGTCTAGGGGAAGAGAAGGTGAGGAGAAACCCTGGCCACGCAGCAGGGGCGGCCCCTCACGCTAGCTCACCACTGAAGCCCCTGGGGGGTAGTCCAGACACCCCCCTAAGTGCCATGTCCCCCAAGCTACTGACCACCAGAGCGCCCAAACTGCCAGGCTATTCGCACGCATCTACATCTGGGGGATATAGTGAAAAAACCCAATGAAATGAACGCCTCACCAAGAATCCTCTATCCAGCTCAACTCTCATTCAAACTCAGAAGGAAACATACACTACTTCATGGATGAACAACAGCTCAGGAACATCACAGACTCAAAACCAACTTAAAAGAAGGACTAAGGGGGCTTCTATACGACAAGAAAACCCCCTACAAGCACAAGTCCCTACAGAAAGATGGCACAAAACCCTCTACCAATAACCTCTCTCAACATCAATGGTCTAAGCGCACCAACCAAGAGACACAGAGTGGCAAAATGGATTCGGAAACTGAACCCAACATTCTGCTGCCTACAAGAAACTCATCTGAACCTTCAGAGTGAACACAGACCCAAAGTTAAAGGATGGAAAACAATCCTGCAAGCAAACAGTTCCCTCCAAATAGCTGCGGTGGCCATACTAGTGGCCTTAGAACTCATTTATATTTTACTGAAAAATCATTTTCTGGGGCAGACATGATGGCACAGAAGGTAAGGTGCTTGCCTTGCACATCACTGACCCAGGTCTGATCTCTGGCACCCCAGAAGGTCCTCTGAGCCCTGCCAGTAGTGATTTCTGAGGACAGAGTCAAGAGTAAACCCTGAGCGCTGGATGTGGCCCCCCAAAAAACAGAAAACTCATTTCTAAGTTGGATTTTTGGAAGCATAAATTTGCACACAGAAATGACTGGAGATCGACAACACCTTTATATTTATAAAGTATGTTAAGTGGAAGGGCCAAAGGAAGAGGCACTGCTCAGGTCTTTCGGGGGCTAATGATTTTCCCAGCTCCGCCAGTGGTGCCTGAGGCTCCCAGGACTACACTCCATGATGATCGTGTGCGGCCAGGGGTGAAATAAGCATCAACCCCTTCCCAGTCATCACCTTAACCTCTGTACTCTCCGCTACACCTGCCTTTTAATTCTTTTGGTGTGGGGGGAAGAGGAGGTGCAGGGAGAAGCTGTGAATCAGTGCTCAGGAATCTGGAGGCCCCTCCCAGTGAACTGAAACGAAGGGAGCTGGTGGTTTACTAAGAAGCCCGAGAATGTGGGGGTGCTGGCCCAGGAGCACCAAGGCTTTGGGGCCTGTAGGCACCCACATTCAGTGCTCAGGAAACCAGATGGTGCCAGGGAGTGAACCGGATTTCTCCACATGCAAGGCTCACTCTTTAATGCCTAGACTATCTTTCTGGCCTGCAAATTTGGTCTTTTCTACGTCTTAAATCTGAATTTATTATCAGCACGCAGGTGATTGAAAGTTGAAAACTACTGTGATATTGAGACCTGGACAATGGGAGATCAAAGGCGCTTAGATGCGTATCTCTTTTGGCTTGTAAAAAAAGATTCAATTCACTCTAGAGGCCAGAGAGGGGGTCAAAAGGGCCAGGGCATGGTCTGTATCGGGGGAGGAGACCAGAGGAAGATCCTGGGTTCCATCCCCAGCACTGCATGGTCCCCCTGAGCACTGCTGGGTGTGTCAAAACCCAAACAAGCAAAACTCACTACTAACATATATGCTAAGATGTTCCCAACAATACTCTTGAGCACATAAATATCTTTTCTGTCATTTGCACTAGCCTGAGTCAAAAAGAAGTCTTTTGAACAATACTCAGATTCGTCACCCTTAGTGGTTAAACTGTCAAAAACACTGAGTTTACAGCAAATAAGGGAAATGCAATAATTGAACATGCAAAAGGACCCATTCTGTTCTCTCACAGAGATTCTACTTAGGCCAGTGAAGTGAAGAGTGGATGGAGAGAGTGATGGGAATGAGTTCCCAAAGAAATAACCAGTGGTGCTGGAGCAATAGCACAGCGGGTAGGGCGTTTGCCTTGCATGCAGCTGACCCAGGTTTGATTCTTCCGCCCCTCTGGGACATCCCAGCAAGCTACTGAGTGTATGCCACCTGCACGGCAGAGCCTGGCTAGCTACCCGTGACCTATTGGATATGCGAAAAACAGTAACAAGAAGTCTCACAATGGAGACGTTAATGGTGCCTGCTTGAGCAAATCGATGAACAATGGGAGGACAGTGCTACAGTGCTACAGTGTTTATAATAATGCACATTTGAAGGTACATAACATGTGAACACTATATAACGATTAGAAGCCAAAAGGCAACAATAAGAAAATAAACATTCTTTTGGCGCGTATGGAACAACATTTATAAAAACTTCTCACATACAAAGGAAGTCCCACAAATAAGGAAATTATACCATGCAAAATACATTCCAACCTCAATCCAATAATCAACTATAAATAAATATTTTTAAAAGACACTGTACATTTATAAACTAAAAGAATAATGTAGTAAACCACTATGACAATAATAGCTGGGAATGTGAGGCTTAAAAGTAGGTAAGGGATATTCCTGATAGCATTTCAGTTCAATATTGCAAACCACAATCGGAGAGAGAGAGAGAGAGAGAGAGAGAGAGAGAGAGAGAGAGAGAGAGAGAGAAAATGCCCGCCAAAAGAGGCAGGCAAGGGGTTTGGGGTGATGGGAAGGAACGTGGGGGGACACTGGTGAAGGAACGGGTGTTGGAATACTGTATGACTGAAATCCAATCATGAACCGCTTTGTAATGCTCTAAAAAACCAAACAAATAAATCACAGTCACGGTCCTCCTGTTGTTCATCGATTTGCTCGAGCAGGCCCAGTAACATCTCCATTGGAGACTTTGTTATTACTGTGTTTGGCATATCGAATATATCACGGGTAACTTGCCAGGCTCTGCCGTGCGGGCAAGATACTCTCAGTAGCTTGCCGGGCTCTCCGAGAGGGGCGGAGGAATCGAACTCGGGTCGGGCATATTGGCTGTGTGCAAGGCAAATGCCCTACCGCTGTGCTATCGCTCCAGCCCAAACAAATAAATAAAACCAAAAAAATCATGTAGTATAAAACAATAAACAAAAAAAAAACAGCAACTGTGAAGGATTTAGAATTGAATCACAACGGAAACAAAAATCTGGGGGCAAAGCTATAATAGATTTTAGAAAGAATTTCATAATCTTAAATTTCTATATTTCACAATAAGAACTTTAGTATACATTAAAAAAAAGTTCATAGAAGAAATGAGAACCTAAAGATAGGATTAAAATTAAGCAAACCAAGTGCCAAACAGGTAGTACAGTGGGAAAGGCACTTGCCTTGCATGTGACCAGTCCAGGTTTGATCCCTTTGTTTGAACCTTTGTTAAATTATTATAGAAAGCTTTTCAGTATGTAAGCCTTGGTTTAAGCATTGCAAAGCCTGCTGGGCAAAGAGTGGGCATAAGACCCAAGAGAGGCCAATCTTAGCCTATTCATTGAAACCTGAATCTTCAAAGGATGCTGAGGACTCCGCACAGAGAGCGGCTAAAATGCAGCCTCTCTAATATTCAGGCCTTGGAGAAACCTTTGTTGAGATCTTAGTTCCTCAATCCTTGGATCTGTGTTGTCCTTTCCAAAATCTGATTAAAAGTCTTCCTTTGGAAAAAAAATCTTCCTTTGTTTCCATTCAATTTACAATATTCATTTCTGCTGCAATTGCCTGAGATGAATAATTTCTGTTGTTTGTGTCACCATTATGCTGAATGGACAGAACTCCCAAAATCAAATGACGCAGTAACTTTGTATTTGTTTAATATCTCATTATCTCTCTCTCTCTCTCTCTCTCTCTCTCTCTCTCTCTCTCTGTCTCTCTCTCTCTTTAAAGTTATTTATTGACTCATCGTGAGAGCAGTTACAAAGCTTTTGGGTTTAAGTCTTGGTAATACAATGATGAAACACCCGTCCCTTCCCAGTGCACATTTACCACCACCAAAACCCCCACTATACCCCCCAGCCCACATCCTCCCCCTACCTGTGTGGCAGATGGTTTCTACATTACTCTCTCTCTCTCTACTTTGATTACATTCAATATTTCGACATCAGACCCACCACTATTATTTGGAATTTTACCCCAACACTCATATCTGCTGAAAAAGCAACATTAGGCAATTTGTTTTCTACTGCTGATCATGAACAACGATTTTGGATTTCTGAAATCTTAACAATTAGATCTGGAGGGATTTCTGCCAAAAGCCGCTGGGTTCCAAGATTTGTTTTTGAGTCTCTGGGATCATGGCAGAAGCAGTTTGTTGAGTAGTCAGAGGGCCCATTTGTGGGCAGTGACTGGGGTCTCTTTGGGCTGTGGGAGGGAAGAGCCAGTCCCACCCCATTCCATCTCATTATCTCTTTCTAGCTACTCATGAGCCTTTCTCTTCGCTGTCTCCTATAGAGGTACTATAGAATTTGAGAGAGATGGCTCTGGATTCAAGTTTTTGGGCTCCATTCCTAGTTCTGTCTCCTCTAGACTATGTGAGTTGAGGCACCCCAGCCTCAGTTTCCTCCCCTGCCAGATGGAGAAGAGCAATACCTACATTTTTAAGTCATTATAAAACGCATATGAATTTCCAAAGGTAAACTGCAAGGGCTCTTGGCACACAGTTCAGTCCTGAGAAATGCTTATGGAGATGATGGCAGTGGTAGTGAAGCGAAGTTCTCTGGCTTAGGAGGCCATGATTGCTCTCAAGGATCTTTTCTCTCCTTATCTAAATCCATGGAAAGAGTTCAAGCACCACCATTTCCACAAGATCCACACAGGTCTGCCAAGTGCACATTCAACTAACAGTTGACTTGCAGAAATTATAATCTATAGCAGACCCATAAGTCATGATTATGGGTCTTCCTTCCTTCCTTCCTTCCTTCCTTTCTTTCTTTCTTTCTTTCTTTTTTTCTTTCTTTCTTTCTTTCTTTCTTTCTTTCCTTCTTTCTTTATTGTCCAAAGTGTGTAAACCATCACTACCCCAATGACAAAATCCTTCCTTGAAGGTAAGAATGTAATTGTACATATTGAGAGGTTGGGGGTGGAGAAGCCTCCCAAGCAATGCTCAGGGGACACTCCTGATAATATGAATCAACTGGATAGTACAGTAGACTCGGACTACTGTAATCAACTTGGACTCAGGAATACAGCTCTGTTCACGCCTCGCAGTACTCACAGTCAGCCTTAAAATTTAACACTTTATTTTCTCTCTCTAACCCCTGCCCAAGAGCCAAAGCAATCCTGGGGGTAAAAGAAGGTGGGAGGCATTGTAAAACTTCAAAATGCACAACAAAGCGGCAGCAATTAAAACAGCATGGTACTGGAATAAAGACAGACCCCTAAATCAATGAGATAGGATTGAAAATTCAGAAACAGACCCTTGAGTATATATATGGTCTGTTAATCTTTGATAAAATGGTGCTGAGAAAACTGGTCAACCATGAGCACAAAAATAAACTCAGACCTCTTCCGAATGTCATGCACAAGAATGAAATCAAAATGGGTTAAAGATCTTGATATCAGACTTGACCCTATAAGACAAAGAAAAGAAACATAGACAGAAAATCTCCACGACATTGAAGCTAGAGGCAACTTAAAGGAGGAAATACCACTGACCAAGCAAGTGAAACAAAATATAAACAAATGGTGGCACTGTAGCACTGTCCTCCTGTTGTTCATTGATTTGCTGGGGTGAGCACTGGTCTCCATTGTGAGACTTGTTATTACTGTTTTTGGCATATCGAATATGATATGCCGTGCGGGCGGGATACTCTCAGGAGAATGTTGGGCTCTCCGAGAGGGATAGCCACGTGCAAGGCAAACGCCCAACCCACTGTGCTTTTGCAACAAACGTACTATATAAAATTAGTACCTAAAAGTAGCTTCGGCACTTCACAGGAAACAATGACCAGATTAAGAAATTATTTGCCCATCACTCATCTGATAAAAGATTAACATCCAGGACATATAAAGCATTAGCAGTATTCTACAAGAAAAAATGTATCCGATACTATCAAAAAATGAGAAAAAGAAATAAACAGAAGTTCCTCAAAGAAGAAATACATATGGCCAAAATGCATGTTTTAAAAAATACACTACATCATCAATCATCAGGGAAATGCAAATCAAAACAATGAGCTATCACACCTACAGCAGCAAGACTGACGCTCAATAAACAAACAAACAAACAAACAAAAAATGTAGTATTGAAGAGGTTGTGGGGAAAAGCAGCCTTCATTCGCTGCCGGTGGGAATGTCCATAGGACCAGACTTTTGGGAAGACAATAAAGACATTCCTCAAAAGACTACCAATTGAAGGTTTATATGACTCAGCAATTCCACTCCCTGGAAGACATCCCAAGGGTCCAAAGCACAATGCAAGACAGACATCTGCACCCCTGCGTTCACTGTAGCACTATTCATAATAGCCAAAATCTGAAAACAACCCAAGTGTCCAAGAACAGATGACTGGATAGAGAAGCTGTGGCACATACACAGAACACAACGGAATACTACGCAACCATCAGAAAAAGATGAATCAGGCAATTTGCTAAGTGGATGGATCGGAGTGGTATCATGTTGAGTGATGTTAGTAAGAGGGAGAGGGACAACTCAGAATGGCCTCTCATACGTGGGATATAAAGAAACTTCATAGGAGTAACAAATGCCCAAAGGCAAGAGAAACAAAGAGCAGGAGAAGTGGTCTTCAGCAGGAAGCTTACTGTGAAGCAGGGGTGAGGGGGATAAGTTAGGGAAGGGAACACTAGAATAATGGTGGAGGGGAAAGTGCCTGCCACAGAGGCAGACTGACAAGTGGGAAGGACACTGGGGACTCTGGAGGAGGGACGAAGAACCTGGAGAAGGGGCTGGTGTTGGAAATGGAAAATTGTTAACCTGAGACTTAATACTGAATAACTTTGTAACTATAATTCATAGTGATTGAATAAAAAAATAATAATTAACACTTTAAGGGATCACCAATGAGCAAAAAATATTTCCAATCTCAGCTATTTCTCGGATTACACTTTCTGAGGTGTATGTTTTGGAATAAGTGCCGCCACAGTGAGCACATGGCCGGTGCTCTTTATCATGTGCACAAAGGTGCCAGGGATGTGACCCAGTGGCAAAACACTTAGCTGGTATGTGCGTGTCAAGCTCAAGTTGCAGTACGACCAAATTTATATATATATACACACATATATATGTATGTATATATATTATACATAAAAACAAAACAAAAAAAAAGACTGGCGACAGATGTTTGTCTTTTTCCCCACATACCTGGTATTCAATAAACATCTCTCTCCCCACAAAACACAAACACAAAACAACAACAATCAAAAGAAAACTACCTTGTAGATTTCAAGAGTTGAAAATTCTGTTTTCCTGAGTTTTGGAAATAAGTTTTAAAATACAAACACAAAGTTAAGAGGAAAAAACTAATTCCAGTCATCTTAGGAAATTCCCACTGCATCTGTTACTGTGAAGCACTGACACGACCACGCCAGAGGTCTTGTCTTGTTCAAAAATTAAAAAAAAATGGAGATGAGAAACAGATATTCGGAGATATATTTTTCCCCTTCCAATTAATTTTTCCCCTTCCTAGGAATTGCCGAAGAACAAAGTGGAGACGATCAGTACTATAACCTTTCATTGTCAACCTTGCCGAGAAATGTTCTTTTATGTTGGAAACTGCGTGACAGAAAGCACACCATCATCTTGCTGTGATTTGTCTAACCATGAGAAGAAATACACACAGAGATCAAAACTTGGCCACTGCTGCCCCAGAGCGTATCACGTCCAGGTAAGTGATGGCAGCATCTCACAGCTGCGTAGGCTGTTGTTTGGCCGGGTAGGAACGTCCATTGGGGAAAGGGAAGCCTATCCTCAGTCCCATACGAAACTGTCTATGAAATGGAGACTTACAAACTGACTAACTTGACTCACCTGGGAACAAGCTTCTATTACATCTAAATGATACCGCTGCAAAACCCCGTGCTTTGTGGCTCAGTGTTGGCTAAAGAATATGGTTATTTCAAAGTTACGAAAAAGTGACTTTTTTTTTCCAACATGAAATCCATCAAATTTCTCCAGCAGGCTGATGTTTCATTTCTAGAGGAAAGCTCAGCCTCGGAGAGAAAAAGAAAAGGAACAGTGAGGAGGATGAGGGGAAGATAACTCACTGGGATTGTGCCAGACAGCCTGGTGCGACCACGTTCTGATTCTCGTCTTCAGCCTGGAGGGCCGTAAGCCCGGCCATGCTGACCATCCCATCACTCGTGTGGCCGGGAAACTGCGGGAGCACTGATAGAATCTTTTCTACCAAGTTGTCTCCATGAGGTCCCACTGCTCCTATTTAAGCAGACAAGAAGACAAAAATTTACAATGATGACCTGGGGGAAGACCCCTTGCACTCTGGGTCAGTAACTGTGATCTGTAGAGAAACAAAACCCGGGATCAGACAATATCAAGTGATAACAAATCTTTGGCTTTCGATTTCTAAAGTAAGAATGGCAAGCAGCAGGGGGAGGGGGTTGTAAGGCAGAAACGGAGCCAAAGTAGAAGTGACAGAAGGACCCAAAGGCACGCAAGGTCAGTGATGGAGTCTTTTTGGCACTTTGGGGGTAGTCAAGGTGCAGTAACCTTGTTCAGAATTAAAAAGCGCAAACACTATGGTAACCACGTTACACAAGTTATCGTTTTTAGAAGAAAAGGAGGAAAAGAAATTTGGCTTCATGTTTATAAAGGTCCTTTAATCTAAACTAACATGCAGGTGGGGATGGAAAGAGCAGGAGTTTAGAAACTTGCCTTGCACATGGGTTCAACCCCAGGACACCATACTAAATTTTTAGGATAGCGATATTTTTCCTTTTTGTGCTAATGACAATAGAAGGTCCAGAAGAGTGTAGAAATCTGATGAGTAGATCTCCCCTCTTCTGGAATCTTCTCTTCACGTGGTAAATATTATTGGGTACACCCTGTACCCAAGAGGTCGAGGACACTGAACTTACAGTTACAGACTCCCTGAAGTTCTTCCCCGATGAAAGAATGAATAAATTGAGAAATGGTAACAGATAACAATAACAGAAGAAGTTAAAGAGTGTGTTCTATGTACTGGTGACTACTGAGATATTTTACATCTATGTATTAACACTTTTACAACAAATGAGGGTCAGAGAGACATTGTATATGTTTCCTCTGCTCAAGCATGAGGTAACTCTGGATTCAATCCCCAGTACTGCAACCCTCTGATTATCACCAGGAGTGAAACCTAAAGTAATGGGCTGGGAGTAGGTCCTGAGCTTCGGAGACTGCCCCAAAAAACACATTAAGAAATAATAAACAAGTTCATTAAATGAACTCAACCCAAAATTCAAGACAAATAACAGTGTTCAGTGCTTTTTAAAGAATGGACCTAAGTTCTCACTCCCAAATTCATCATTGAGGTTTTTTACAATTACTTTTCAGTTATTATTATTATTTTGACTTTTGAGGTCACACCTGGTGCTTTTCAGGAGCTACTCCTGGCTCTGCACTCGGAATTATTCCTGGTGGTGCTCAGGGGACCATAGGAGATGCTGTGGATTGAACTTGGGTTGGCCATGTGCGAGGCAAACACCCTTCCTGCTATACTATTGCTCTAGCCCTAACTTGATCATTGTTTGGAAGATTATCATTCCACCAGTGAACAGAACTACCCACAACACAACTTTCCCTTGGACAATTCAGAAAACAAAACCTGGGAGACTTAGGGGCTGGAGCGAGAGTACATCAAGTAGGGCAAATGCTTGCCCGTGGCTCACCCAGGTTTGATCCCTGGCACCCTTGATGGACACCTCAGCTTGTCAGCAGTGAACCCTGAGTGCATAGCCAGTTATGGCCCCAAACAAAAAGCAGACAAAAAAGATGGTGGACTTAGACATTGATAGAAATATTGATACAATTCTGGCCCAGCTGGTCTTCTCCTCAATGCTCATGCTTTCCCCCTTTTCAGTAAGTAAAGAACAACTTCTGAACCTGCAAATCTATTTCCTTCCAAGGATGAATACAATACTCAACTAATATGTTTGGATCTATAAGTTGAAATGATTTTTATTCACAAAGCAGCCCTGCAAATAGGATTAACAAATATCACTATTGCCGTGCTCGATAGCACAGCGGGTAGGGCATTTGCCTTGCACATGGCCAACACGGCCGACATGAGTTCAATTCCTCCGCCCCTCTCGGAAAGCCTGGCAAGCTACTGAGAGTACACACAAGGGCCCGGAGGATTGGTCCATCATTGGGAGCCTGCAACAAGTGCTCTGGGAGAAGGCAGCTGGAATAGAGAAGGGATCACCAAGCCAGTGATGGTTGGAGGATCGCTTGGGATAGGCGATGTGAGCCGAAAGTTGACCAAGGACCAAACATAATGGCCTCTCAGGATTTGTATTGTAAACCATCATATCCCAAAGGAGAGAGAGAAAGTAAGAAGGAAACTACCTGCCATAGAGGCAGGGGTGTAGTGGAGTGGGGGTGGCGGGAGACATATTGGCGACACTGGTGGTGGAAAAGCTACACTGGTGTAGGAATTGGTTTTCGATCATTGTGTGACTGAAGCTCAAACCTTAAAGCTGTCACTATCTCGTGGCGATTTAATACATAAATTAGAAACCTAAAACCTCTCAACAAGTCAGTCATAAAGGAACAGACCTCAGGTTCATCACCTATAAGTAACCCATGTCTAACATTATGTTCAATGACAAATTAAAAAATAATAAAAGTAATCACTTTATTCATCTGAACTCAGAGCCACCACAGAACATAAAAACAATGGCCATGTCATGTCTCCTAATGTGTTGCTTATTGTCATAGAGAGCACTGTGAACTTGGTTGCATACCTACATAACAAACCTACAGGTCAAGTTTTCACTTTTTTTCACTTTTGTCATCTTCCTAACCATTTAAACATTATTGATTTCAATGAAATCTCCCATGTGAGAATTTTCTAACTCAGCACCATCATTCCATTACCCTATCCTCCCGCTGATCCCCTTAACAGACAACAATCAGTTGGTATATCTGCTAATAGTTGGAATATCTTTGACTAAATTTGAACACACCTGTTTTCTTTAACATATTTGTTTTAGAGGGTTGGAGTGACAGTACAGTGAGGAGGGCTTTTGGTTTTCACGCAACCGACCCAGGTTCTATCTCTCACCCCATACGGACTCCTGAGCACGCCAGGAGTAATTCCTGAGCACAGAGTTACGAGTAACCCCTGAGCACTGCCAAGTATGACCCCAAACCAAAAAGTAATAAAATAATATATTTGTTCTAGTGTGCCAGAGAGCTGGGATCCCCAACACTAAGATGTAACAGGTGCTCAGTAACTGTGTTAAATATTCAATCCATATCATTCCAATGCAATATATAATAAATTATGTATTCAACCAAATTTTAATCAATATGTAAAACATTTCAGGTTCTATACTGGACAAAAGTACAAAGAAAAATAAAGGTACAAAGAAAAATAAGCCACAGCCTTAGCTTCAAGAGAATCTAAAATAACCAGAGAAATAGTGTAGAGGTTAAGCCAGTCACCTTCAACAATGCTGATCCCTGTTCTTTTCCGAGGTACTTGATTTTCTGAGGTACTTGATTTTCTGAGGTACTATTGTGAATGGGATTGTAATGTCTGCCATGAAGGCCGGGGGAGGGTGCAAAAGGGGAGGTATACCGGGAATATTGGTGGTGGGGAATATGCACTGGTGGAGGGATGGGTGTTTGATCATCTGTGATTGTAACCCAAACATGAAAGCTTGCATCTATCTCACGGTGTTCAATAAAATTAAAAATAAAGAAATAAATAAAAAATAAACAAAATATAAAATGATCACAATAATGCCCAAAATGAGTGTGTGTGTATGTGTGTGTGTGTGTGTGTGAGAGAGAGAGAGAGAGAGAGAGGGAGAGAGAGAGAGAGAAAAAGGGAGGGAGAGAGAGGGAGAGAGAAGAAAAGTGCTTGTCATAGGGACAGGCCAGGGGAAGGTGGCGGGGGGGAACCCTGGGACACTGGCAGTGAGAAATATACGATGATGGAGGCACAGGTGTTGGAAAATTGTATGACTGAAAACCAACCATAAACAGCTTTATGACCCTGTATTGTATGGTGATAAATTTTTTTTAATTAATAAAATGAAATATGAATTTTTTAAATTAAAAAAAGACAAATAATTTAATCTATTCTGGATTCCACCAAAATTTTCCTAAGGATTTTAAGTTGTAAAGGCAATTGCCATTATAACAAGATGACAGTGATATGGAGCTCGAGAGACAGTACAGTGGATAGAGCATTTGCCTTGAAGGTAGCAGACCCAAGTTTGATTTCATATGGTCCCCTGAGCATCACCAGGAGCAATTCCTGACTGAGGCGTCAGGAGTAACTCCTGCGCATCTCTGAGAGTGCCTCTGCCCCCCAAATGACAATGACAGTAGCTGAATTAACTGCATGGTTCTTGAAGTAACTTAAGGAAAAGGTTCTACTGAAGAAATAATTCTAAAGCATTGATGATATATAAGATACAAAGTCTGCTAGATAAAGGATGGTACATTTAATAAGATATTTTACCTTCCCAGTACAGCATATGTCAAATTTGAAAATCAGAAAACACTGACTTCCATTCAACCATCATAACAAAAGCATTATCTGTACTTTATTCATTTCAGAATCTTTCTATTAAGACTCCAAATGTTGTCAGGGAGGTAATACATGAGGGAAGGCATTTGCCTCACATGTAGCCAACCTCAGTTCAAATCCCTAGCACCACATGTGGTCTCTCGACCACCAGATGGAACTCCTAAGCCGAACCAGGAATAGTCCAGAGCACTGTTGGGTGAGGTTCAAATCTCCACATCAACCCACAAGTAAAGATAATTGGATGGACAAACAAATGACAGCTCATTCATCTGATCCAGTTTACAAAACATAAAACTTAGCTAACACAACTAAAAAACAAAAAGGAATAATTAACAACTTAAAAAAGAAGCTAAAGGGGCTAGAACTTTAGCACAGTGGGTAGGGTGCCCGCCTTGCATGTGGTCAACCTGGGCTCAACCCTAGAGATCCCATATGGATTCCAGAGTAACACCTGAATATCACTGGGTGTCCCCCCACTCCCCAAAACTAAAGGAACATAAGCCATACAGAGTTTAAAAACAAAAGCCTTCTGATTTTTTAAAAATCAATTAAAAACTGAATTAAAAATATTAAAATCCTGGAGCTAAGAAAATAGCTCAAATAAAAGCACATGCCTAACATGTCAGATCCTGTACCATGAATATCACTGAAAGTATCCCCAACACCAGCAGTTACTGGCCTTATTTTAAAATTATTACATATACAAAATACAGAAAAAAACCAAAGCTCAAGATTGGAAGAATGCAAGCTGAAATTTAATAGTTTCTAAATCTAAAAATTTGCAGCACTCATTTTACAAAAATACTTTCAATTCTAGAATTACAAATTACTGATTCCATGCAACTTTTATAATTCAATTCACCATTAGGGAGGAAATCTTTTCCATGGCTAAGTATTTTTTGAGATATAAATAACAAAGTATTTGTTTTAGGTGTTCAACATGACTTGATATACATATACATATATACATATAAACTGCAAAATGCTGATCACAGCAATTTAACATTCATCATCACAGTTTTCATTGTTTCCTTATAAGAATGTTTAAGATGTACAAGTTTTAGCAACTGAAAGTAAAACTTAAATAAGAATGCTTTCATATCATGATATGATAAAAAAATGTAAAACCAACAGAATCTATCACTAAAGTCTTAATAATGGCACCCAGTTTTTGATACAGAACTGTTCAAGGAGTAAAGGATGTATTTCAATGGAAGAGTACATGCTTCACATGTATGTGGTCCTGGGATCAATTCCCTGCACCACAAGACTTGAAATTGAAAATTTAAAAACTTACCCATACTGTAGTGCTCCCGTTTTAATGTCTCCGATAGTGACATGAACATCATCCTCATCATCATCACTGTCACGATCATATCCAGTTTCAGTCGCTTTCTATACCAACATAAATAGTAATAAAATAGATTCAATAATCCACCTTCAATATCTAGTAACTGAAAAAGTAACCAATTTGTTTCATCTATGGGTTTAGAGTTATGAAACCAATGTTTCCACTTCTTCTTTGTAACTTTAATGCTTTATAGCCTAAAAAAAGTGATAGAAATGTGAAAAAAGCTTTCAAAAAGTTTTTGTAAGACTACCTAATGTATCTTTATATGTAAAGCTTTCTCTCTTGCAAAAAGGATCTAAGGGAATGTGCTAAGATATCCAGCAGATAGAACCATAAAAAGTAGGTATTTGAAGAACTTTTGGCAAAAGGAATGTGAAGATAAGAGTGAAAAATTAATTATGGAGCTGGAGCGATAGCATCGCAGGGAGGGCATTTGCCTTGCGCACGGCTGACCCTGGACTCGATTACCAGCATCCCATATGGTCCCCTGAGGACTGCCAGGAATAATTCCTGAGTGCAGGGCCAGTGCATCACCAGGTGTGACCCGAAAACCAAAAAAAAAAAAAAAATTAATCATACTAGGCACAGTGTTAGGTTGAAAAGCAACAAAATGTTACCAAAGAGTTCACCAGTCATGGCATTCATTAATATCTCGAAGAGGTCTTGCCATAAAATGACCAGGAATATATTTTATCTGAAAAACTAAAATACATCAGCATACTTAGGAAAGTGTTATTCTGGCTCTAGACAGCTATTGTGTCCATAGTATCCTATTAGTTAACTTTAAAAAAAAAAAGCATCATTTAAACCAGTATTTATCAATAAGAGACGGTATGAGACCAGGATGTTCCAAGGGGCAACGGCAGAATTCCCATGGGTGGGAGAAAGCAGGAGACTAGAGGACCATTAGCAGGAGAGGGCAGGCCACCAGGCCACACGTGGAAAAAAAGGCTGGAAGGGGCCAGAGTCTGAAAAAGACGGAAAAACATGAACCTGGGAACAACATTTTTACCAGGACAAGTTTAATCCTGCAGAGTACCAATCTCTTTCTTTCATAGAAATAATTGAATATATTAAAATCTTCAAAAGACCATGATAAAATAATCCTGCAAAACATCACTTTGAAGGTGAATGAGGTCAGAGACCAACATCCAAAATAACATCTTGCTTAAAATCAAAACCAAAAAAGCCAAATATTTCTTAAAGGAACTGTGATCATCTAACAGGTTCAGAACTCAAATGAAAGCAATAAACCTCTGCACACACTCTATTTCATCTGAACACCTTCCCACTATTTCTTTTCACTGTGCATCAAATAAAAATACCTGACAGCGAGATTGTGCAGGATACTCCAAAGTCTAGCTAAATGTAGACTTTCTTCTTAGCTAGAAATCTACAGATTTTAAATACGGAAGCGACTGAATTCCAAAGCCTTATGTTACTGGTTTAGGAACACCATTTTCAGCAGCTTCCTCCTCAATCCCAGATGGAGGACTGGCACGACAAATAAAAACAAGTACACGTGTCTGTGTTACTTTCGGGCAAGTGCCCGACTGTCGGGCAAGAGGCGCCCTTTTCCGCAGGTGCGTCCACGCGCACTGGCCCTCGGGAAAGGAGCCTTTGGCGGGGCGCGGGGCGAAGCGCTGAGGACGGGAGGGCGGTGCGGGCAGCTCGGAGGCCGGGGAGGGCGTCCCGGCCGGGGGCCGCGAGGACAGAGCCAGGCGCCGCGGGAGGGGCGCCGGGCAGCACCGGGCGGCAGGTACCGGCGACGGCAGCGGGGGCGGCGGCGGGGGCGGCAGCGGGGGCGGTGGCAGGCACGTGGTGATGCGCGCGCGGCGCGGCTTGTGCGCACGCGCAGCGGCGACCCAGTGGCGCGGAGGCAGCGACCTGAGCCTGACTGCGCCTGCGCCTGCGCGCGGCCGAGGCCCCGCCCCCAAGAGATCCCGCCCGGCCTCGCAGCGAGGCTTTCTCGCCCGCGTCCCCGTCAGCTGCGCCTCCCCCCCCACCCGCCCTCTGCAAATCCCTCTTGCTTTGCCCATGGGGGCTTCCTTTTGACCTTTTCTTTCTTTCCTTTTTCTTTCCTTCCCTTTCCTTTTCTCTCTTTCCTTTTCTTTCCTTTTCTTTCCTTTCCTTTCTTTCCTTTCTTTCCTTTTCTTTCCTTTCCTTTTCTTTCTTTCCTTTCTTTCCTTTTCTTTCTTTTCCTTTCTTCCCTTTCTTTCCTTTTCTTTCCTTTTCTTTCCTTTCCTTTCCTTTTCTTTCTTTCCTTTCTTTCCTTTTCTTTCTTTCCTTTTCAGCGGGCGAGAAAGCCTCCCTGCGAGGCGGGGCGGGATGTCTTGGGGGCGGGGCCTGGGCCGCGCGCAGGCGCAGTCAGGCTCAGGTCGCCGCCGCCGCGCCGCTGGGTCGCCGCTGCGCGTGCGCACAAGCCGCGCCGCGCGCGCCTCACCACGTGCCTGCCGCCGCCGCCGCCCCCGCTGCCGCTGCCGGTGCCTGCCGCCCGGTGCTGCCCGGCGCCCCTCCCGCGGCGCCTCGCTCTGTCCTCGCGGCCCCCGGCCGGGACGCCCTCCCCGGCCTCCGAGCTGCCCGCACCGCCCTCCCGTCCTCAGCGCTTCGCCCATCGCCCCGGGGACGGCGCCGCCCCCACCCCGCTAACGGCTCATTTCCGGACGGTCCGGTTAATCCGCACTATCAGAATTACTTAGTTTATTTTGCTTTTTGGGGGGTCACACCCGGCGACGCTCAGGGCTTCCTCCCGGCTCTGCGCTCGGGAATTACCCGGCGGTGCTCGGGGGACCCTGTGGGATGCTGGGAATCGAACTCGGGTCAGCCACGTGCAAGGCAAACGCCCTCCCCACTGTGCTCTCACTCCAGCCCCCCAGAATTGCTTTACGAATTTTAGTTTTGGGGCCACACTCTGCCTGCGTGGAACCACTCTTGGCGGGCGTTGGGGACCACGTGGGGTGATGGGGCTCCCACATGCCGGGGGCGGCGGCGGCAGCGGGGACCTGGTTCGGCGCGCGCAGCGCAGCTTTTGCGCACGCGCAGCGGCGACCCAGTGGCGCGGAGGCGGCGACCTGAGCCTGACTGCGCCTGCGCCTGCGCGCGACCGAGGCCCAGCCCCCAAGAGATCCCGCCCCCAAGAGATCCCGCTCCGCCTCGCAGCGAGGCTTTCTCGGCCGCGTCCGCGTCCGCTGCGCCTCCCCCCCCACCCGCCCTCTGCAAATCCCTCTTGCTTTGCTCATGGGGGCTTCCTTTTGACCTTTTCTTTCTTTCCTTTTCTCTCTTTCTTTCCTTTTCTTTCTTTTCCTTTCTTTCCTTTCTTTCCTTTTCTTTCCTTTTCTTTCCTTTCCTTTTCTTTCTTTCCTTTCTTTCCTTTTCTTTCTTTCCTTTTCAGCGGGCGAGAAAGCCTCCCTGCGAGGCGGGGCGGGATGTCTTGGGGGCGGGGCCTGGGCCGCGCGCAGGCGCAGTCAGGCTCAGGTCGCCGCCACCGCGCCGCTGGGTCGCCGCTGCGCGTGCGCACAAGCCGCGCCGCGCGCGCCTAACCACGTGCCTGCCACCGCCCCCGCTGCCGCCCCCGCTGCCGCCCCCGCCGCCGCCCCCGCTGCCGCCCCCGCCCCCGCCGCCGCCGCCGCCCCCGCTGCCGTTGCAGGTACCTGCCGCCCGGTGCTGCCCGGCGCCCCTCCCGCGAAGCCTCGCTCTGTCCTCGCGGCCCCCGGCCGGGACGCCCTCCCGGCCTCCGAGCTGCCCGCACCGCCCTCCCGTCCTCAGCGCTTCGCCCCGCGCCCCGGGGACGGCGCCGCCCCGCCCCGCCAACGGCTCCTTTCCCGAGGGCCAGTGCGCGTGGACGCACCTGCGGAAAAGGGCGCCTCTTGCCCGACAGTCGGGCACTTGCCCGAAAGTAACACAGACACGTGTACTTGTTTTTATTTGTCGTGCCAGTCCTCCATCTGGGATTGAGGAGGAAGCTGCTGAAAATGGTGTTCCTAAACCAGTAACATAAGGCTTTGGAATTCAGTCGCTTCCGTATTTAAAATCTGTAGATTTCTAGCTAAGAAGAAAGTCTACATTCAGCTAGACTTTGGAGTATCCTGCACAATCTCGCTGTCAGGTATTTTTATTTGATGCACAGTGAAAAGAAATAGTGGGAAGGTGTTCAGATGAAATAGAGTGTGTGCAGAGATTTATTGCTTTCATTTGAGTTCTGAACCTGTTAGATGATCACAGTTCTGTTAAGAAATATTTGGCTTTTTTGGTTTTGTTTTTAAGCAAGGTGCTATTTTGTACGTTGGTCTCTGACCTCATTCACCTTCAAAGTGATGTTTTGCAGGATTATTTTACCATGGTCTTTTGAAGATTTTAATATATTCAATTCTTTCTATGAAAGAAAGAGATTGGTACTCTGCAGGATTAAACTTGTCCTGGTAAAAATGTTGTTCCCAGGTTCATGTTTTTCCGTCTTTTTCAGACTCTGGCCCCTTCCAGCCTTTTTTTCCACGTGTGGCCTGGTGGCCTGCCCTCTCCTGCTAATGGTCCTCTAGTCTCCTGCTTTCTCCCACCCATGGGAATTCTGCCATTGCCCCTTGGAACATCCTGGTCTCATACCGTCTCTTATTGATAAATACTGGTTTAAATGGTCCTTTTTTTTTAAAGTTAACCAAAAGGATACTATGGACAAAAGAGCTGTTTAGAGCCAGAATAACACTTTCCTAAGAGATTTCCTAAGTATGCTGATGTTTTTTCGTTTTTCAGATAAAATATATTCCCGGTCATTTTGTGGCAAGACCTCTTCTAAGATATAAATGAATGCCATGACTGGTGAGCTCTTTGGTAACATTTTGTTGCTTTTTAACCTAACACTGTGCCTAGTATGATTAATTTTTTTTTCTTTTCGGGGCACACCTGCTGATGCACTGGCTCTGCACTCAGGAATTATTCCTGGCAGTGCTCTGGGACCATATGGGATGCTGGTAATCGAGTCCAGGGTCAGCCGTGCCCAAGGCAAATGCCCTCCCTGCAATGCTATGGCTCCAGCTCCATAATTAATTTTTCACTCTTATCTTCACATTCCTTTTGCCAAAAGTTCTTCCAATGCCTACTTTTTATGGTTCTATCTGCTGGATATCTTAGCACATTCCCTTAGATCCTTTTTGCAAGAGAGAAAGCTTTACGCATAAAGATACATTAGTTTGTCATACAAAAACTTCTTGACAGCCTCTTTTCACATTTCTATCACTTTTTTTTAGTTTTTAAAACATTAAATTTACAAAGAAGAAATGGAAACATTGGTTTCATAACTCTAAACCCATAGATGAAACAAATTGGTTACTGTTTCAGTTATTCATGTTGAAGGTGCATTATTGAATCTATTTTATTACTGTTTATGTTGGTACAGAAAGTGACTGAAACTGAATATGATAGTGACAGTGATGATGATGAGGATGATGTTCATGTCACTATCGGAGACATTATAACGGGAGCACCACAATATGGGTAAGTTTTTAAATTTTCAATTTCTAGTCTTATGGTGCAGGGAATTGATCCCAGGACCACATACATGTGAAGCATGTGCTCTCCCACTGAAATACATCCTTTACTTCTTTAACTAGCAGTCCTGTATCAAAAACTGGGTGCCATTATTAAGACGTTAGTGATAGATTCTGTTGGTTTTACATTTTTTATCATATCATGATATGAAAGCATTCTTATTTAAGTCTTACTTTCAGTTACTAAAAGTTGTACATCTTAAACATTCTTATAAGAAGAAAATGAAAACTGTGACGATGAATGTTAAATTGCTGTGATCAGCATTTTGCAGTTTATATACATACATATATGTATGTATATGTATGTCAAGTCATGTTGAACACCTAAAACAAATTCTTTGTTATTTATGTCTCAAAAAATACTTAGCCATGGAAAACATTTCCTTCCTAATGGTGAATTGAATTATAAAAGTTGCATGGAATCAGTAATTTGTAATTCTAGGACTGAAAGTGTTTTTGTAAAATGAGTGCTACAAATTTTTAGATTTAGAAACTATTAAATTACAGCTTGTATTCTTCCAATCTTGAGCTTTGTTTTTTTATGTATGTTATATATGTATATATTTTAAAATAAGGCCCAAAACTGGTAGTGTTGGGGATACTTTCAGTGGTATTCATGGTACAGGATCTGACATGTTAGGCATGTGCTTTTATTTGAGCTATTTTCTTAGCTCTAGGATTTTAATATTTTTAATTCAGTTTTTTAATTGATTTTTAAAAAATCAGAAGGCTTTTATTTTTAAACTCTCTATGGCTTGTTTCTTTAGTTTTGGGGAGTAGGAGCACACCCAGAGATATTCAGGTGTTACTCTGGAACCGATCCTTTAAAAAATACATTTTTAGCAGGGGTGAGGGTTGGAGCCACACCCAGCTGTGCTCAGGGCTTGCTCCTATCTCTGTGCTCAAGGATCCTTCCTGTTGGGTTTTAGCGACCATATGGGGTGTCAGGGATCCAACCCTAATCAACTGTGTGCAAGGCAAGTGCCTAACCTGCTGTGCTATCTATCTGGCCCCGAAGTTTTAAAATATTTTAAAATGTATTTTAAAACTATATTTCAGAGTTCGTTCCAGATTTTTCTGTAGCTTTGAATTGCTGTCTGCGTGAGATGCTGAATCCAGAGTAAGCCAGCAGCTTCCCTGCTGAAGAAGATAATTTATGAAAATTCACTTAAAAAAAGACTAAATCTCCTATCTTGAATCTCTGCATACAGTGTAACTTGATAGTATATTTTTTTTAAAAAATAATTTAAAATGATTTTTAGGGGCTGGAGAGATAGCACAGCAGTAAGGCGTTTGCCTTGCAAGCGGCCAATATGGCCGACCCGAGTTCGATTCCTCCGCCCCTCTCGGAGAGCCCGGCAAGCTACCGAGAGTATTCGATATGCCAGACACAGTAACAACAAAGTCTCCGATGGAGACGTTACTGGGCCCGCTCGAGCAAAGCGATGAATAGCGGGAGGACCGTGACTAAATCCTTAATCCGTGATTTTTAGGGGCTGCAGAGATAACACAGCGGGCAGGGCGTTTGCCTTGCATGGGGCCGACCCAGGTTCGATTCCCAGCATCCCATATGGTCCGCTGAGCACCGCCAGGAGTAACTCCTGAGTGCAGAGCCAGGAGTAACCCCTGTGCCTCGCCGGGTGTGACCCAAAAAGCAAAATAAAAAAAAAAACAGATTTTTAGTCATTAGTTACAGACATTTAATATTCCAACACCAGTCCACCACCATTGCACCTTCTCACCACCATTATTTCCAATTTTCCCAACTACCACTTGAACGTGCCCCCATAGCAGACCCACTATCATTTATTTTACATTGCTCGTTTTAAATAATTTGATAAAAGGATGATCAAAAACTGTTTCCTTAGAAGAAAGATTGTGAATTTTTTCTTTGTTTGCTTTTTTGCTCCAGCCCCGGTAGTGAAGATTCTTCTATCTCACCATGGAGCCCTTAAACCTTGTGTAAGAGATTACTAAGACGTTACAGGTAAAGCCTTCTGTGTATAGATTTTGTCAATTGAAATTGGTTGCCTTTCATATTACATACCATCCAGTCCTGTGTGCTACTTCTGGCTTAACAGTGTTACAGAGTTAGAGATGTTGCGTAGCCAGAATTGCATCCACACACTCCAGGGTGTCCAAAAGTGTTGACGGAGTAACAGATGGAGTGAAATTCTTAACTGGTGGCTTTGGGGCATAGGCCTGACGGCTGGGCTTCCAGAAGCACAGAGGGTAGTCTGTGCCCGATCTCTGAAAGCTGATTGTGGAATGTGGAGGTTTTTGGCTGCTGGCACTCTGTTTGGGTGGACGTGGGGATTCACCCGTTCCTCTCTGGGTTGCCTCTGGATGACTCAGCCTTGTGCAGGATCCGAGAGAAATTCTTGATCTCTTTCAAGATTTATTTCTAAGTTTGTTATTCTAATTTATTCTGGATCATGGCCTGTGAGAGAGCTCACATGGCGCTGGAGGTGTTCCTGCCGGGCTTCCAGAAGAACAGGGATACATGGAGGGAGGGAACCCTCCCTGACCTCATGAAAGCTGGAGATTTCAATCACAAAACCTGCATGCTGGAGTTTTTCAAAATTAATTTCTGGATGAGACTTATCCGGATAGTGGAATTCGGCCAGGAGCAAACTGATGATTGTGAAACATCCAAAAAATTTTGAAAAGAATTATCAGGAGGGGATGAGTGAAAATGACCATGAAAAAGAGCTGTGGAGAGACAGTTTTTGTGGATGAAAGTTGCAGAGTTGGGCTGTAGAGGGTGGAGAGGTAAGTGGAAAGTGAGGGAGGGGTCCATTAGCACAGACCTCTCTAGAAGGCTGACTGTGAATCCATGTTATATTCTTTGATCTAAGTTAAAATGGGGGGATAAAGAAGATACTTTTGAGTACTAAACAGAATTATGGGTAACTTGGAGAACTCAATGGCTTCACGGCTTGTCGAGACGTTAATTGAAAATATAACTGATCTGGTCAGTGTGGGAGATTCATGTTAAAATGAAATACTTTCACATACTTGCTTGAAATTCCTTTGGACTCCCAGGTATGTGGGATCTAGCACTTCGTGGCTATCTAAATTACTGTTAAGGAAAATGTATACAGGTCTTAGGCCAAAATCACATAAGTAATATTGGCTAAACCTTGAATGTGAATGGGGTTCTGGCTCCAAATTTTAGCTTTTCCCTCTGTTTTCAGGTATATTTTACTACGTTAAATGAAATTGAGTTCATCTTTACAAGTGTTTCGTTTTCATGTAACTTCCACCCAGATCAGGATATGGAATGGTACTCGCATTCTAGAAACCTGTTCCCTATTGTTTTCTCTCCGTCATTAACCACTTACACCAAGAACCACATTCTGGTTTTGGTTTAGATTGATTTCATTTTATGAATTTATTTTATGGACAAAAGTAGTCCATGTATTTGAAAGACGATCTACTAACAGTATTGAATGCAGTGAGAGCCTAAAGGAGATCACTGGATTATAAAACAAGGACTATTTCTTATTACTTCTTTCTTACAGGATTGCTGACTACTGAATTCAGTAGGAGGCAAGGAAATGAGGACAAGATGTATATATAAATGTGTTACTTACGCTTTAGGGCTGGAGTGACAGCACAGTGGGTAAGGCGTTTGCCTTGCATGTGGCCAACATGGCGACCTGGGTTCGATTCCTCCGCCCGAGAGTATTTCGCCCCCAGGGTAAAGTCTGGCAAGCTACCTGTGATGTATTTAATATGCCAAAAACAGTAAGAACAAGTCTCCCAATTTGTTGTGAGACGTTACTGGTGCCCGCTCGAGCAAATCGATAAACAACGGGAGGACGGTGCTACAGTGCTACTTTCCCTTGACCAGCTTAGTTTCTTGGGAAGTGTGTAACAGTGGGACATGTACTGGCAGGTAGGTTTTTGAAGAAAAAAACATTCAACTTTTAAGACCCCCTTTTGGGGGGGCATGGGAGAATTGGGGAGTGGGGTGGCTTCCTAAGTGGTGTTCAGTGCTAATGGCCTGGAATGAATTTTTTTAGGGATAGGCCTGCCAGGTGTTGCTCCGGGGCCCCCTTGCCCTTGGGGATTTCCTCCTGTTGATTCTTGGCTGTTTGAGCAGCAGTGACAGTGCTTGGGACCCCTGGATAATAATCTGGCAGTGTGCGAGGGGTCAGATTGTGTTGGGGATGATGCCCAGGTCATGCTCATATTATGTATGTGCCCTAACCCAAACATATAAGATGTAATTGTTTCTTTTGTGGAAGAGTCCTCCCTTTGTTCAGGTGGCCCAGGCCTCACTGCGAGTGATTCTCAGCCCAATGGTAGGTGGTTTAATTTGAGGGCCAATGTATGTGGTCGTATTGTTCCAGTCGTGCTCAGGTGCTTCCAAGGACACATCTGGGGGTACTTTTGAAGGCCTTCAGCACTATCTGTCTTGATCCCAGAATATCTGTTTTTTTTTAAATTTTTTGTTTAATAAGTGACAAAAAATTAAGACTTTTTTCCCCCTAGGGGTCAGAGAAATAGTACAGCGAGTTAAGTCACTTGATTTGCCTGTAACCAGTTTAGTTTGATTCCCAACACCACCTGGTCCCCCGAGCATTGCTGAATTGGCTCTGAAGGTCTCTGAGCACAACTGGGGTACTCTAGATAATCCTTGGTACTGCAGTGCTTGAAGAACATTGCATTCTCAGACCCAGGCATTGAACTGCCGACCACAGTAATGGCAGGAAGGGGCCCTTAGGTCCCCTAATCAGCACTTCGGAACCCTCCCCCACACCCACTTTTTTAAAACATGTTAGTCAATGTCAGTCTATATATGTATAACTTGTATACATGGAGTATATTGCTATTTTTGTTTAGTTCAGGATTATCAGAATAATTTTTGTTGTTCTTAGGAGTTACGGAAAAGCACCAGTGAATCTTAATATCAAGACAGGAGGAAGAGTTTATGGAACTACAGGTAAAATTTGTATTTGCCAGTGCATCAGTAGGAAAGTAATGACTATGCCTGAATAACGTACAGACTATAGTAGCTATCACAGGTGATCTGAAGAGTGCTTCAGTTCAATTCAAGAGAGTCGTTTAAACTTGTGTCTCAAGGATGGGGAAACTTTTCTCTGTGAAAGGCTTTGTAAGAGAATACGTATTTGTACAGTTTGTGGGTCACGAGGTTTCTTTCCCTCTTTTGATTTTAACTTGTTTGTACAACCCTGTAAGACCTGTTATAGTTCACAGCATATAAAAAGGGATTTAACACCTGGAAGTTATAGGTACATATTGGTACAGGAATTTATTTGAATGCGTTAACAAGTTCCTAATCCATACACTTTATCTTAGAGTTTCTTCCCTAAAGTTTAAACTTACTGTTATTGATAACATGCTTATTCCTATAGTATGCCTGACTCTAATGTTCTCATTGAAGCCTTTGTTTTATTGAGAGCTATCACTAGTAAAATGGTGTTTTCTGTTTTTCTCTCAGTATCTTGCTCATGCCATTCTTTCTCTATTTTGTATTTGTTAAAAAAGGAACAAAAGTCAAAGGGGTAGAGCTCGATGCACCTAGAAGTATTAATGGAGTTCCACTCTTGGAGGTAGATTTGGATTCTTTTGAAGATAAACCATGGTGTGAACCTGGTAAGATGATAAATGACTCCATACCCCTCCCTGGGACCAGCCTCAGTGACCCTCAAGGTCCTGGGGCACTCAGTGTGTGTGATGCTCAGTCTTCTGGGATGAACATTGTGGTACCAGGGCGTGTGCTCCAGGCCACTGAGCATGTGCTCTAATACTCGAGCTGTTTCCCCAGCAGAAGAGGACTGGATTTTTCTTGGGAACACCTGATGGTGCTTGAGGTCTGCTGGCAATGACTGGTTACCTTGTGTGCTTGTGATCAAACCTGGGCATCTATATTCAAAGCATTCATTCTAGCTCTTTGACTTATCTCTCTGGATTGCAGATTTTTAAAAGATGTTTCATATTACAGTCATTAGAAAAATATCTAACTTTCAGTATCAATAGTATTCATAGGATTTTTGTAAATGTCATTATAAATGTCCTAAGCATAATTAGCAGTAATGACCTGTGTTGCTAAATTGTAACAGTAGCTTAGCATTATATTAGTCTTGCATAGCATAGTATTTTCTTATAATGCCATTTATAAAGGAAATTTCATTAAAAACATAGTTTTGTGGTGCTAGAGTAATAATCGGAAGAACTAGTAAAATTTGAAGAAGTATTTATACTTATAGAACTTATCATTTACATTTTTATATTTTATTTGCTGCATGAAAATAGGATTGAAATACTTGCATACAAAAGTTGTGTCTTCTTTTTAGGCGCGGACCTTTCTGATTATTTAATTATGGGTTTAACGAAGATACCTGGAACGCTTACTGTGAAAAACAAAAAAGGATACGAATGGGGCTTGAAGTTATAGCAGTTACCTCAATTACAAATATATTTATGGTAATTAGTAAACATTTCAAAATACTCCTGTCTTTTCTATTTTCTATTCACTTTTTTTCCCTAATCACTTTTTCCCCATAAAGGTGATTAAATACTGTGTGATAGTTTAAAATTCCGTTCTTTTTATCGTGTTTTTTCCCCTTCCCTTTCAGAGTTCTATGTTAATGCTTATCTGATATTTAGCTACAAGTTACTGACTAGCCACAGTTAGTTTGTATTTGTATGGCCTATCAATTCAAAATTACATGGCATCTGAATGGGGAATATGTTATTTAACTTATGCCAAAGACTGTACTATGGGAGTTACACCAGGTGCAGAGATCCAAGATGGCAGATTCAATCTTTTTTTTTTTTTGGTTTTGACTTTTTGGGTCACACCCAGCGATGCACAGGGTTTACTCCTGGCTCTGCACTCAGGAATTACCCATGGCGGTACTCAGGGGACCATCTGGGATGCTGGGAATCGAACCTGGGTCAGCCGCGTGCAAGGCAAATGCCCTACCCGCTGTGCTATCGCTCCAGCCCCAGATTCAGTCTTTTTTTAAGGTGAATTTTAGTAAATTATCCTTGGTTGCTCTCATTTTTTGTTCTTGAGTCTTCTCCTATGCCACTACTCAAGGGACAAGATTAAAGTGGAAATAGCTTCTCTGTTTCCCAAACCTTCAGCTTCCTGGTGACCTACAAGTTTGCTGATTGTTGTTTCATCTCCACTTTTGCAAGCATGTGAATTTGTACCCTATTATACTAACAAATGCAAAGTAAAGTTCTTGCTCTATGTTGTGATTTTATTTTGAGTCATAGTCTATGTTTGTTTGTTGGATATAAAAGTTCTTCCAACAGGTTATGCTGTTATATAGACCATAATATAATCTATCAAAATTGGAGGCTTAAATTTTCCTTGTTGTTTTTTTTAACAATGGTAAGGAAAATGGCAATCTGAATATCTCTATAACTTTGAATGTTGTATGTATTGCAGTTTGGGCATTCTTTAAGAAAAGAGTCTCTTAAAAATTGTGGATTTACTATTATTTACAATGACTAGAAACATTTTCTGGAAAGTGAATTTTACTTTTACTGGTTCTTTATATTTTCCTTGAATAGAACAAAGAAAGTTCCTTTGTAAACTTCCAGCTTCCATATACTTTTGTCTCTTTGCAGTAAACTTCTAAAAGTAAAGAATATAAAGGAAATGATGGTTTCCATTGAAAGTAGCCTTCATGAATACCTTGTTGATATGTATACTGCTTTACTGCAAAGTTGTTTTGAAGAGTTTTTTTTTTCTGGTTTGGAGTAGAGGTCATTTTTTCATTTTAATTTTTGATTCTGAATGAATACGGGTTTGAGTTGGATAAGTATAGTCTGTTGGCTCTTTTTGCCTTGATAATGTGCTTAAATATTGCTTGTCTTGTAGAAATACTGATTTGGGAATAGGGTATGTATATTTTGTTTGTTTGTTTCGGGACCACATCTGTTGGTGCCCCCGTCTTGGTGCTCAGCGTGACTTCTTTGGATGATAGGAACTTGGTGGTGATGGGCATTAAACATGGGCCTCCTGCATGCAGAGCATGTGGTCAGCCCATTGAGCAATCTCTCCAGTCATTCAACTTCATTACTGTGTGCAGCTCACGATGATTTTTTTTCATTTTGCTTCCTGTTGTCTGTAGGATCTTTTAGGTAAAGGTAAAGGTAAAGGCCCTCCCGTTGATCGTCGATTTGCTCGAGCGGGCCCAGTAACGTCTCCATTGGAGACTTTGTTGTTACTGTGTCTGGCATATCGAATACTCTCGGTAGCTTGCCGGGCTCTCCGAGAGGGGCGGAGGAATCGAACTCGGGTCGGCCATGTTGGCCGCGTGTAAGGCGAACGCCCTACCCGCTGTGCTATTTAAAATGCTGAAAATGTGAAAATGTGTTTGAGCGCAGTTGATATTTTTAAGCTGCAGTTTAAATTTCTGAAAGTGCCATGTTAAGATTTTCAGAGTTTTGTGGAATATTTTTAAAAAATGATTACTTGATTTTTTACCATGTACCATGTAAATGGTGATTAGTAAAATGTTACAAAGTTCTTATCAGTAATGCAAATACGAAGAGGTACATGTGTGAGGTCCTAAGTGTGAAAAGGCATATTTTAGATAAAAATATTATCGTTTCTAGAGAATTGCAAGAATTAATATGAAATCAGATATTACTTTGGTATGCAAAATTATTGTGATGCTAAATATAGCTTGTTTCAGTGCTTTCTTATTAAAAATCTTTAACTATGTCAATTTTATTGTGATACCAGGATTTACATTATCTTAAATCATTGATTTTGTGCATACATCTTTGTTTGCAGTACCACACGTAACACCAGAGACTAATTCCCTTGACTGATGTCCCAAGGACCTTTCCCAATTCTCCACCCTCCCCACACCAACCTTCATGCAACCTCAGATCTACAGATAAAAACTTTCCGTTTAGACTATAGAAGAAAAACAGTATGCAATATTAGAGAAGTGTGTATTACTGTATTGGGTTTGAGGGTATAGAGAAGTATTCTAGATGGAGGAAATTCTAGGTCTGTACAGTGGGTGACCGCGGCATCCCTGCAACATTCTCTGTCCTCAGCCATCCCCGCTTCGCCTTCTGAATGCCGTGCGCGTCTTCCCCAACGCTGCTGCCGCCCCATCCGCGGTTCTAGGCCATGGTCACGTTGTATTTGCGCGCACCGCCCACTTAGCCCAATGGGCCTGCGAACTGCACCTGCTCTTCCAGTCCTCTCCGCTGAAGATGGGTTGGCGCTTGGCTGGGATCGGGGCCGTGGGAAGCAGTGCTGGGCTGGGGCACCTTACACTGCCATATACCCCCCCCCCACCAGCTTCCCACTGCCTTGCAGTGTCTACCAGTATCCAAGCAGCACACGGCCCGTCCCCACAGGCTGTCTTCTGCAGAAACTCTGAGGCTGGTTGCAGAAAGAGACTAGCTGGAAGGGTCAGAGCCCAGTTCCCAGCCTCCACTGGGCTTTGAGGGGGTCCAGTGTGTGCTTGACAGTTCTGCTGCCTGGAGGGACTCGCGGCCAGCATCATCGCTCTGTCTTCCGCCCACTGTTCCCGATGCCCACCCTGAGTTCCCAGTTCCCACTGAAAACTTTCTTCCCTTTGGGTGCTCCCGAGGCTCCGCCGTCTCCAGCTCCTGAATTCCATGTCACTTAGGCCTCAGTTTAGTCCCATTCATTTGTCTGGCCCATTTCCATTCTTCTGTGGTTCGGTTCAGTTTTGGTGGAGCAGGGTTGGGTGTGGAGGGGATGGGGGTAGAACCAGGGGGTCCCCCGCTCTGCTGTTTTCCCGTGCAGACCCCCCATCCCCTCCCATACCTCTGAATATATGAATGAGAATTATTGTTTCCAAGATTTTCACATGATAATTCTAAGCCACCTCTGATCGGCTCCCTGAACTGGCTTCTCTTAGTGGTCATTCTCACTCCCCGTCCTTTTGTCCTTGCCTGCACCTTCATCAGACATGAGAACACCCCTCCGTGTGACCACAGACTCTTCTGCTCCTCTGCAGACCCAACACCTGCTTCCGCCCCTACTCCAACCCCTAGGAGTGAGGTCAAGGTCTCTTGAACCTTATTTGCTTTGCAGACAGTAAGCTGCCGCTAAACTCTGGCCATCTCACGGTCATATTACAGCTGGAATTGAAGCCGCTTTTGGCCAGAGTGATAGTAAAGAAGGGGAAGGCTCTTGGCTTGCACTTGCTAACACTGGTTGGATCCTTGGCATCCCTAAGGTAAGGTCTCCTAAGACCCACCAGGAGGGGTTCTTGAGTGCAGAGCCAGGATGAAGCCTGGGCATTGCCAGGTGTGGCCCCACACCCCCAAATAAATAAGTAAATACACTTATATCCCTTTTGGGCTGGAGCAATAGCACAGCGGGTAGAGCGTTTGCCTACAAGCTACCGAAAGCTACTGAAAGTATCTCACTCCCACTGCAAAGCCTGGCAAGCTACCCGTGACGTATTCGATATGCCAAAAACAATAACAAAGTCTCACAATTTGTTGTGAAACGTTCCTGGTGCCCGCTCAAGCAAATCTATGGACAATGGAGGACAGTGCTACAGTGCTATATCCATTGTAATTGATGAGTGGTACTCCCCCCACCCCTTTCTCTCACTGGCTATTAAGACCATTTCATAGGAAAGGGATGTGACTCAGTGGCAGAGCGTAGACCTTGCATGAGTGAGGGCACCCCAGGAGGGAGGAAGGCGAGTTTCATAAATATGGTGTTGAGATTTTCATAGCATAAGATTCATTACCAGTATAGTGATAATGGCAACATCCTATAAATCAGGATGTAGTTGTGAAGGTGGTACCCTAGTTAGATCATCTCATGCACAGGCTGGGATTACTACCTTCTCTCTGAAAGTTTTCCATTTCTATGAGAGGTTCTTTTATACCTTGGAGAGCACCATTGTTCTTGTCTATTTTTGGCCTCCTATAAGTACAGAAAAGTAAAGCGGATCTGAATGTAAAATGAAGGAAAGACCCAAGTCATCAGAGAATTTCTGCATAGTTACCAGCAAAAAAAAAACAACACTGTTACAAAATTAAGGTAACTCCTCTCCAGAGTCTCAGAACCCTTCTGAAGCTTCCTAAGTTGACAAAGCTGCAGTCACTACAGGTCCAGGCCAGTCTGTGGTGTAAGCATTCAAAGATCAGTCTTCATTGCTCCCTCTCCTCAGGCAGCTTTAGGTTGGGGAAACTAATTTTGTTCTCTTCTCTCATTCCTTGATTTATTCTCTCAACCAACAAACTATCAAGCCTTTGTGAGAAACAAACTTTTCTTGCTCCAGAGCATGAGGAAAGGATACAATATGGATTCTTTGAGCACTCAAGGTGCTTGTAAACTGGTTATAGTGATAGGCACATGAAACAAATCAATAATTAGTATTGCTCTGCTTTTATTTGTGTTTGAATAGTTTTTCTTTTATGTTTTGCAATGCTCAAGGCTTTCTTCTGACTCTGCACTCAGGGATCACTCCTGGTAGGCTTAGTGGCACCACATGGGGTACTGGGGGTCATACCCAGATTGGCCACATGCAATGCAAAAATGCCTTGCCCATT